GCAATCACGTTTCAGGCCAACGTGGACAAAACGGGATGGACGTGAGATAACGCGGGGGGACGGGATGGGCCAACGTGACAGGCCGTGATTGCCGTGGTTGCCGGGCCAGACTTTTTAACTGTCAAAAATTTGCCACGGCAGTCACAGTGCGGATGAGAAACCTAGTAGGCCGAAGTAAAACTTGGTGAACGCAACAAAACGTGACAGTACGTAATAGGCCGTAATATAACTTGGAGGCGGTCCGTAGTGGGACGGGAAGCATGTGTATTTCCCGTCATCTCACGGTCCTTTCGAGTTTTGTCAAGTTCTATCGCTTTTATTGCGCGTTCTGTCACGGTTGGTTCACGATTGCTGCGCGTTTTGCCACGTTTTGTCACGGTTCTCACGGCAAGCTAGGGTTTATGGTACATATAGCTGTTTCGTCGCGTTCAATCCTGCGCGTCCCGGTGTGTGACGGTTTGCGGGCCCGGCGCGTTGCGTTCTACTACGGTCTGACACGGCGTGCGCACGCGGTCTGGGAGGGAGTATATAAAAGCAAAAATCCCACGGCGCACTACGTTTCGTACTCAAAATATTTTTCATCTTGGGAATTCATGATCGTCTCAGGATATAATGATTGCTTTTGCTTGGGAGGCCTTCTTGGGCACAAAGGTGCTCCAAAGCTGCCGGTGTCCACGTTCCATCCGTGGAAAGCCTTGACAGAACGTGAAAAGCGTGTCGGACCTTCATCAGAACGTGAGAAACTTGAGGGACCCCATCAGAACGTGACGGGCCTAGAGGGAACGTACTGGCATCCGTGGTAGACCGCGGGCTAACCGTAGTGCGCCTTGGAGCCTCCGGGACTCAGCAGCCCCTTCCCCCCACGGCCTGTCACGGATACCGTGACAGACCGTGGGGAAACTTACCAAGACTTGAATTCAGAGAAAAAATGGCCAAAATACCACGGCGCACTACGTTTCGGACAAACGGGACTGCCGTGGCTGCCGGGAACATAATGTAAACGTAGCATAAGCAAGTTTAAATATCATGAGAGGTTTGTTATTCCGGTTATAATAAGTGGAGTCCGATTGCAGACAGTGTGAGGTCTAGAATATTATGCTATCAATGTATAAACTTTACAAGTTAACCAACATTTTGCATAAATTATCACCATAGGTATCCTTTTTTTAGCAAAAGTGTTACTTTTATATTTTCAGCAAAACAACTTATGTTGATACAAAGCCTCGATTTCGAATCAGGGGTTATTCAATACACCATTGGATTTACAGTGGACGATGGGTCCTTGACCGCCGGCCCTTCTTCCTTGACCATCGACGTCCTAGATGATAACGAGGCTCCCGTGTTTACTCGTGAGATGTATTACATTACAGACTCCGAGAACAGGAACGTGAGTCTCTTTGTCATAAAATATGTATATTTCTCTTGACGATACACGCGTATCACTCATGAAAAAAAAAATATCGTATGATGTAACGGGGTTTGAAACTAGTTTTAAGAATCAAGGCTTGCCGAGGTTCTGATCCCGAATTCTACGAAAGTGGGAAAAGAATTCTTATCTCCAATACTTACATAATGATTGATTATTTCCTACCACATCTAACCCAGAAATTAGGTATACACAGACAAGTTAATTTCAAAAGTAGCAATTAATATAGCAGATTTTATTGTTAATGTACCTTTAAGCCAGGAAATATATTTTAAAAGAGCAGAGGAAGGTATTTCTGTGCTGGAGATATTAAATTAATTTTGTGAGGCGATATCACTTGCTGACTGTGTTTTTTGTTGGTATTTTTTTTTTTTCGCTGAACAAAATGACAAGTTTACGAAAACTTCAGAACCGATATGGAGCCGTTACGCATTTATAACTCTGGAATGTCTGAGTTTTGCACACCTTAAGTTTGGGAAATACACGGGTCCAATGTAGATACATTGTATATTATGTGAAATGTTCTGTCCAAAATGGTCTCGGGAGGAAGTTGCACGTACATGTATTACCGACAATCAACTGTGCATGGACACACATGTAGCTTACAGGTGTGAGTGTCTATGCGATTAGAATATGAACTTTATTTGAATTGAGACCGATGGTCAAGATTTTAAACCCTTCCACATTCATTTTTCGCAAATTCCTTGGTAAGACGCGAGAGGAAATATACTCAATGATTATGTAGTTGCTGAGGAAACTCCAAAGTCTAAGAGTAATATAGCTTTATCAAACCAAACTTTATCGGACCAAGACACTGAAATGTTCGGAAAGGGGCTTAGCATTTAACAAAATGGTATTGTTTCAGGTCGGCTACTCACTGCCAAGTGCGCTGTTCACTGTGACAGACGCTGACGTTGGCGATTCTCTGACGTATTCAATAGCTTCAGGCGACCCCCTAGAGCGCTTCACCATCAATGCTACTTCCGGAATTCTGGAGTTTGCTATCGTATACGATATCGATGATGGCCGAATGCCAGCGGTGGTCAATCTGACCATTATGGTAACCGATACGGGTGGATTGTCCGCAACAACACTTGTACAAGTCACCCTTCTAGACAGTAACGAGAACCAACCAATTTTCATCTCCGACACGTTTGAGGCCAACATCCCCAATGACTATCCGGTATTTTTTGTTAATTGTATTATTCATACACAGATCATATATAAAGCGGTTTTGTAATAATAAAAAAGACTAATGGAAAAGGGCCATGGAAAAGAATGAAAACATGTGAACGTCAAAACTAAAGTAATGGCTTTATACCAAAACGTAAGTGTTCTGATGGAATTTTTATGAAATAAATTGCAAAAGAAGAAAAAATAAAAATATTGTATTTTCATTAAACATTACACTCTCCCCGCAGGTGAAATCAAGTATAGTATCTGTCTCCGCCACAGATATAGACTACACCTACAACGTTATCGAGTATTCACTTATAGACGGGGATCTCCAGTATTTTGACGTAAATGAGGAATCGTGGGTTTACCTCATCAAATCTGTCGCCGAGTTTTACAACTACACGACACTAAGCGTGAAGATACAGGTAAGATATACGGCACTAAGCGTTAAGATCCAGGTAAGATACACGACACTAAGTGTGAAGATACAGGTAAGATACACGACACTAAGTGTGAAAGTACAGGTAAGATACACGACACTAAGTGAGAAGATTCAGGTAAGATACATGACACTAAGTGTAAAAATACATGTAAGATACACGACACTAAGTGGGAAGATACATGTAAGATACACGACACTAAGCGTGAAAATACAGGTAAGATACACGACACTAAGCGTGAAGATACAGGTAAGATGCACGACACTAAGTGTGAAAATATAGGTAAGATACACGCCACTAAGTGAGAAGATACAGTTAAGATACACGACACTAAGCGAGAAGATACAGGTAAGATAAGATACATGACACTAAGGGAGAAGATACAGGTAAGATAAGATACATGACACTAAGGGAGAAGATACAGGGAAGATACATGACACTAAGTGAGAAGATAAAGGTAAGATACACGACACTCAGTGAGAAGATACAGGTAAGATAAGATACATGACACTAAGGGAGAAGATACAGGGAAGATACATGACACTAAGTGAGAGGATACAGGTAAGATACACGGCACGAAGTGGAAAGATACATGGAAGATACACGACACTAAGCGTGAAGATAGAGGTAAGATACACGAGACTAAGTGTGAAAATACAGGTGAGATACACGACACTAAGTGGGAGGATACATGTAAGATACACAATACTAAGTGAAAAGATACATATAAGATACACGACACTAAGTGGGAAGATACATGTAAGATACACAATACTAAGTGAGAAGATACATATAAGATACACGACACTAAGTGAGAAGATACAGGTAAGATACACGACACTAAGCGTGAAAATACATGTAAGATTCACAACACTAAGTGGGAAGATACATGTAAGATACACAACACTAAATGGGAAGATACATGTAAGATACACGGCACTAAGTAGGAAGATACATGTAAGAAACACGACACTAAGTGAGAAGATACAGGTAAGATACACGACACTAAACGTGAAAATACAGGTAAGATACACGACACTAAGCGTGAAAATACAGGTAAGATTCACAACACTAAGTGGGAAGATACATGTAAGATACACAACACTAAGTGAGAAGATACATGTAAGATACACAACACTAAGTGAGAAGATACATGTAAGATACACGACACTAAGTGAGAAGATACAGGTAAGATACACGACACTAAG